ACCCTGGGTCCGTATAAATACTATGTTGCTATACCTCTTACACACCTATACAAGTTCAAAGCACGAATGAGACTTCAAAGCTGTGGATTGCTGTGCGTGTGTAGAGGTTCTCGAGCGGTTGACGGAAAGGGAACTTGAAGTACTATACCTGGTAGCTGCACTATAGCTACCCTGGGTCTCTATACCTTGCAAGGTGCCAACTACACCTTTCCATTCAGATGATGCAAATGATGCATTTGGCATTTCTTGCATCACCACCCCTCAAAAATCACCTCCAACACAACCTCAAAAAACCTTCCCTCGAAGCACCCTCCTCCCCCAGCATGTGCCGAGTTTACGTGTACCTTTCCCGGGCCACCCCCCCAGACCCCCTAACTACTCACTTCGTTCGCCAGACACAACTCCGCTAGCGCCTTCTACGAAGGCTGGCGTTCGTAACATTCCTGATGCTTGAATCCCCCAATCTGACCAGGAGGGGAAGAAGCCGCAACCTGTTCCATCAAAGGATCTCTGAACAAAGCATGGATTCTTCTCACAATGACTCCCAGTTTGGGAAGCATATACAGCATCCCTCCCTTCCACTGGATAGGTTCATCCATTGTAGTCAACAGCTTCAGAACTGCATCATAGACGTGGGGGCCAATGGCTCCTGCAGCATAGTGGATCCAGCTGGATTCAATACCATCAGGACCACTGGCTTTGTTGGGCTTCGTTCTTCTCAATGAAGTCTCAATGTGCGTCAAGGAAGGCAGATCAGTGAAATGCCGTACACATTGTCCCGGGTCAACCTCCGGTCTGGCCAGTAACTCCCGGTAAAGGTCCTTGAGCTCCATTGGAGTGCCCGCTTCAAGATCACACACGCGAAAGCTATAAATGCGGCTCGCACTGGCCGTGTTGACGTGCGGGCTTGTTCAAGTTCATCACCGGCCAAAGCTGCGGCAATTTCTCCATACTCTCGTGAGATGAGGGCCAACACACTGGGATGGGAGAGATGGGCAACCGGCATTGCAGCATTTATGGCCCTCGTGATGAGACGGCAGAGCAGCATTTAAGACTGTCACACCGATGCTGGCCAGTTTATTGAATTCTGTGACGCTTGAGATTAGACCTTTCCAGCCAGCAGGTCCACCACTCAAACGCGGAATTTCGTCCTTGTCTGCAACAATTGCCAGCATGGCATCGTTCTCACGATGAGATAAGTTGACAAACATCTTGGCGCTGTACATCCTGAGTTGGATTGCACGTCCAAACGCATCAGTAGCAAACTTCTTGAATTCATCGGAATCAGGCTTCATTCCGGCTCCTTCCTCCGTGCGGTGGATACCACGCGAGTTATATGCTGAGAAGTGTGCCATGATCAAGCTCAGGCCGTTGATCATCTTCAACAGGCGATATAATTGTGACCTCTTGGCTGCAGAGTCCACTGTCAACCCGATCAGAGCGATGATCCGGTAAATCAAACCATCATAGAGGGCCGGGTCATAAGCGGCGCCACGTGGCTGAGCGAGAACGCCCAGCGTATGGACTCGTGCAAAACATTTGGTCCCAATACGCGCTAGCATCCGCAGGGCCAACGCGATCGCTTCAGGAAGCGTGAGCTTTGAATCCACCCTGTTGACAAGGGCTAGTTCCTCGATCGATTTGCCCCTGGCGCGGACAGCCACCCTGCGCTTTGCTGCCACAGCATCTGCCGCAGCTCCGCCCACAATATAGAAGAAGTACACATGACCAGTAAATGCAGCGAATGAAAGCGCCAGTGCGAAAATGAGAGAACCCGTTGTTGCAACTCCGCCCATCACTCGAGACGCGAGTTCCCAATTTGCGGATAAGGCTTCACCTGAATGTTTGTCCTGGCAAAACTGCAAGGCTTCGGCAGGCCCAAATACTCCGGCTATCTTTGATGTGAGGGCTCCGAAACCTGCTTGTGTGGTGCGTGCTTCTGCCGATGTGAGTCCACTGTGTGGTATACTGGCCACGATGTCTTCAGCACTTGGAGCAACTTCCTTGATTATGCTCTCGTCAATGAGTACATCTCCATCACTCCATTCCCGGGCAACTCCAGCTGGGGCGTCTGCAGTGAGCGAGTCGATAGATAGCTTCCTGCCCTCCAGGAAGGGCTGCTTCGACATTTGTTTAGGCGCCATGGCTTCCAACTTAGTCCAAAAAGCCAGCTACGCTGAGTGGGTAAAAAAAAACAACAATATATACTATTCCATACTCTAAATAGTTTAGTGGGTGGGAATTGGAATAGTTTTGTTATATTTTTAATGTCCAGGGTGTTCTTTTGAGGTCTTTCTTGTCTTTTGAGTTAATTTTACCACTACTATACTGCAACAACAACAACTACTACTACTACTACTACTACTACTACTACTACTACTACTACTACTTCCATTACCACCACCACCTACCCACCCACCTGCCCACCATTACTACTATTTGCCAACTGGTTTTGGTGGGCTTGACACTTTTCACTCTCCCTCGGTTTTTGCCTTTTTGTGGGATCGGTTTTGATGGGTTTTGATGGTTTTGCTCAAGATCCAACATGATCGATCCGCAATTTGAATCCATCGCAGGCTCCGGGCATTGCATCCCCTCCACCTACGTGCCGCTTCTCGCGCAAAACGCGCGCCGCTGCGTCCAGGGCGCCACGTTGGACAAACCATGGCTGTCCAGTTCATGCAGTCGATCCAAAGCGGAGTGGCCAAGCACCTACTGCGGAAAACCCTGATTGGATTGAGATTCTTGCTTCGAACCTGGGAAAAAAAAAGAGATTGTACGACATCTGCAGGGTCCAGGCATCCGCAACTGTGCTGCAACTTCCTCTGTTTTTGTTTTGGGATGGTGTTGAGCTGTAAGCTGACTGGAGGGGGTACAACTGCAGCTTCGGATGTAATCAGTTGGAAGAGAGAAGCATCAACATACACCAAGCGTTGTCTCAGCGTGTGTTGTTGCAAATAGCGAGGAACTAGTTAAGTTAAGTATCGTTAAATCTACAAGCTGATGCAAGTCCAAATGGAAGAACCGACCTGGTTTTGTGACAGCTGGACGACCAACCTCTTGTCCACGCAGCAAAGCGGACATCTTTAGGAGCTAACACCAAACTACCGACTTGCTCTTTCAGCCTGGGTGCAAGATGGATTCCAGTATGGGACAAATGTAATGCTAAGACCTGGTCTATTGATCGCTTCTTCCAGGGGGTCTCTGGGAGGTTTTGATGAAAACCTTTTAAGTCCCAGAAGCTTGCCAAGCACTCAACTAAAACAATCCAATACCCGGGACGCTGCACCCAACGATCACGCCATGATTGAAGTTAGCGACGCCCCATCCCAGCAGGTGTCTGCTTGAGTGAGTGGATGTGACGGTCGGGGCACTCTCCGTCCGTTCGGCACTCTTATCCTCCACTCCTGCTCTGGTCATATTCAGGTCTTGGTCTCCAGCGGAAAAAACAACTGTTTCGCCGATGGACCCCATACAGCATCCGTAGATGCATTGCAAGCATCAAGCCGTCTCCCTGGAAAAAATGAGATTTACCTTTTTCACCCGTTCTTGTTTACTGGGGAAACCAAGCCCCCCAAAAAACGCAAAAAGGTTACAGTAAAGATTATCTGCTGACTGGGTAGGAGTCATGCCTCTGTTTGATTAAAATCTTCATCAGCCAGGAGCCTCCCTGCGGGGTCACGGATGGATTGCCCTTGGCTTGTGGATCTGGGATACCGGCATGTTGGAGGCAAAAGCCTGTCCAGATTCAATCCACACATGCAAGCTCAAGTCCTTGGCTGTCTATTGGAAATGAGTGAGCCCAACCAAAATCCAATCAATTTGCTTGTTGATGCAACCCATCTACCATAAGTGAACCCTGAGTCTGGGAGCCTCCACCAGCTCTAGGATCAAAGAAGAACTACCCAACCCCATCCCCACCCCATTCCCACCCCATCCCCTCCCCATCCCCTCCACACCCCTCCCCTCCAGGACAGCCGCAACCGATCGGAGGGTCCCCCGCCTTCAAGCTCCGGTGCACTGAGGTCCAGCCACGACCCCAATCCTGGTCCCAGGACCGTGGCGCATAGCCCTGGCGTGAAAAGGTGGTGGATAGGTATCGATTCGGCTCATGAAAGCCATGAAGGTGGAGTGGAGCGGAGTGGAGTGGAGTGAGGTAGGGGAGGTGAGGTGAGGTGAGGTGAGGAGAGGAGAGGAGAGGAGAGGAGAGGAGGGGAGGGGAGGGCAGAACACTCCAAGCTCATCAGGGGGAAACATATGAAACACGGTGTTTGGTCCCGGATTCCTGAGTTAGGGCCGAGAAGAAAAGCGCCGAACTAGAAAGTGTTTTTTGTAGCGTAAAAGGTACGTAAGTGTTGGGTTTCCATTGACGTTATGAGAGTATAGGAGGCCATGCCACGCCATCACACCCCCTACTAGGGTAGACCACCATTGTGTCATAAGATTGAGGTGTTCGACCAATCGTCGCTTGCACACCACACGAAAGGCATGTCCGAAACATGTGCTACCATGTGCTACCCCTCCATCGGATTGAAGCCCTCCAAAAGGGTCTCCGAAATAGTTCCTTTTTGAGACTTCAAAGTGGCAGACGCTGACCTGTAGTCGGGTGCTGGCATGACATATCTACCTGACCTACCTACAGCCCCTAAACGCGTCTGATCCAGTGGCAGATTGATCTGCGGTTGACACCCAGCCAAATCCCTGGCCTTCAACGACCATTTCAAAGATGGGAACGACCTGTTTTAGCAACAAAAACTGAAACAATGCTGTTTGGCGAAATCAGCTCCTTAACACCATGCTGGGTCAGGAATGCGATTCTGATGGCCTGCGACCCCGAGCCATCCGAACACACTAAAACGCACGCGGGCCCCTGGCGCCCTGGCCGCCCCTGGCCCGCTGCGAACCATGACCCGAAGCTGCGAAACAGGTTAAGAACCTGTAAATCCCCTATCTTTTCGAGAGAACGAAGGAGACTTGGTCAGACAAAAGGGTCGGTCGACCAGTCGTTGTGAAGGCGGGACAAAGAGAAACCGATGGATTGATCCATCGGATCTGCAAGGCTGCGTCCAAATGACCTCAAATGACCACTGCTTATAATACGTCTAGTAAAAGGAGACCATCATGGGCATCATGCTGATGATCTTGGCCAGAATGGCCAATCCTCTTCAAACCTGGAGGGTTTGGTTAACCCTTCTATACCTTAAATCGCCATCCACTGGCCGTCTCAAAGGTCCGCGACGGTGTTCGCCCAGGGGCCCACCTCCATGGTGTCAGACCAGGGGCCCACCTTCGCCAGCGCCCACCTGTTCGACACAGTGGTGAAGCACACGGTGCTGGTTCGACAAGATGCGGTGGTTTCATGCGACATGTGCCTTTGGGAAATTGAATGGACTCTCTCTCAGTATCCCTCAGAAATTTTCATGGTTGGTCCTTTTCCATCTGCTCTACCTCTTCGTGGGGAACTGAATCCGCCCCCAAAAAGAATTACAGGTTACCAGCTGCTTCCAATGGGTCACCTGGCTGGACAACCCTACACTACTTATATAGGTCTCCATTAAACACCCATTGGAAGTTCTAGGTATCCACTGATTGGGAGGTATCCACTGATTGGGTCAGGTTGAAAGGAAAGATCAGTTCCCTGAATCGCATGGGGAGTTCCGTCGAGTTGAGTGTCGGGGAAGAAAACCAGGGGTCCTCCACTCCTTGGATGGGACAATAGACAAACATGGAATTCCTGGCCACATGGGACCTTGGAATTGATGGAGGATGATCAGAAACAGTCCTATAGCAACTTAAGCATACTTGACAAAATGTGGTGCCAGGTGGACATCGACGTGTTCCGGCTCTTCAGTCGGAGGTTCATGCATGAAACTCACCAGCACCTTCCAAGGAGTCACCGTTAACTAACATCCAAACACAGTAAATATCACCGTTCGAATGATTCCCAATCCTGCAAAGTCGGAACACTCCCGTTTGGGATCCGTTTTCGTATGTTTTCGTAGCTTCTCAGGTTCGGTGAGGACGGACACGACGCCTGTGCCAAAACGCCGGGTCCGTTTTCGTACCGAACCTCTGAGGTTCGGGACCTGGGACCTGGGTCATTTGAAGAGACTTTCTCATTGAGAATTAACGAGAACGAACGACCTCCCGTGTCAATGTGAGATGGAAATCCGATCAAGACTTCCACCGCCTTCTGTGCAAGACCTCCAACATCTCCCCGGAAGACCTCCAACAGTGACCCTGGAAGTCGGTGGGACCATGTTCAAAAGGGGAACGGGAACGATGGGGTTTTGTAGTATAAAACCAATGGTGGTTCGGTGAAATTAAATTGATGGTGGTTCAGCTTCTGAGACGACTGAGCCCCGGCAAAGCTTTTGAGACTTCCTTCACATGTGGGAGTTCTCCATCTCCGCCCGGCTGCACCTGTTGCTGAAGTCCGCCCGGCAGAGACCGCATGACGTCCGGGAACTTTGCAATACTTCCCTACCAGTAGGGCTCCAACCAGATCCATGTGTTTGGACCTGGCACCCACCCCAGTCCCACCATCTGAGAAAAAACTTGGAGCCCCAGGGTCACTATGGAACGACCCACTTTCTCACCCCATCCAGTCGATTCAACCAACCGGAGCAACCATCCACCACCCATCCCCACCTCCTCAGCCGCCTTGGCCGCCAACGCCGCCAGCTGTCCCCGAAGCTCTGAAGCGTCCGCGCCGGAACGTCGACCGCCGGAACGTCGGCGCGCATCATCCTGAAGTTCACGGTAGTCGGTGCTTTTGGCGATGCGGTGAAGGGCCACCACCGCATGCACCAGGTCAAACTCCTGCCAGCGGTTGTTCAAGCAGCCCGTTGCTGAAGAAGAAAAAGAAGAAAAGGAAGCAACCACATGATCTATGGATGGCATACCTGCATGGATCGAACTTCCAACTTGTACATTAATTGTTTGCCCTTGGGCACCTGGTTTGGTTGGCCGCGGTGAAGCTCGCATTGATGAAATGGGAGAACGAAGCCTCATGCGGGGGGAGAACAAATCGCCCTCATGGACCTTCATGCTTATCCTGTTTGGACTCCAGTCGTACCTCCGAAGCGGTTCGGTATTGGACTCCACACTGGCACCCATCCCAGTCCCACCGAACCTCAGGTTCGGTACAACTGGAGCCCAAACGGGTCTAGCGCAAGCATTCTGCGTCTTGGCCTACGTTCCTTTTCGAAAGGATTGCAAATGCCGGGCCACCCGGCTCCTGGGATCTTCTGGGAACCCCAAAACCAAGTCGTTGCATCGGCCACCGCCTCCTCCATCGACATCAGCCAGGACCGTGAGGACGGGGGAAGGACGCCGCACGGCTCTCGCAGGTTTGGTCGATCGGCCCGTCCTCTAACTGCTTCTCGCTGGCTCGCAGCACTTCGCGCGTCGTCCAGCTCTCTGAGAGCTCTTTGCTGAGCCGCACGCGCCCCTGCGCAAGTCTGCTCAAAAGGATTCCGGCCAAATCCCACCAGGTACCTTCAAGGACAAGACTCCTACTAAGTGTATTATACTTCCTATACTACACTCCTTCACTTGCTCGAGGAACTTACTTCGTTAGGACATGACCCAAGGAATACGAGTTCCGGGTCGACTCCAACCAGCTCAGCGAGGTGGAGGTGGCGGAGCAAGACTCCGGCTGGCCTCAAGTGGTTTCTGTGCAATCACGAGGTAAAGCGCGTTTAACATTATACCAGGACCTTCCAAGTGCAGTGGTTTTCGGACACCGCTTAACCTCTAGAGTTTAAGAGGCTATTCATAGACACCTCGAACGGAAGGTCCTAGACAAACCTTTTCGCTTGGAACAACCCCCTGGGCTGAACGAACGGGCCGGCAATATGATGGCAATGGCACGATAACAATGACATGATGGAACGAGATCGGTGTCCATTCAAGATTAATCTGATTCTTCAAATTCCCTGGAAAATAAAGATACCTTTTTCATTGTGTTTCTACCTGTTCTTGTTTAGTGGGGTGCCACCACTCCCAAAAAACATGTTAAAAGGTTACACATCCACGTAACCATGTTAGTTTCAGGGAGTTTATTTTGTCTGCACATGGAAATTGAACACCTTCGAAGGCTCCAACGCAGTGTTTTCCGAGCAAAAACACCGCGGCAAGAACCCACTTTTGTTTCAACACGCGACCCAGCCGCAGCTTAGGTCGCCCAGCATGTTGCCACCCCAAGGCCCTCAAAAAACCCATCATGCACCCCTCCAGGACGCCGCTTTTGACGAGAAAACGCCGCTTCTAAGACCGACTCCCGGGCCTCGGTTGGAGCGCTTGGCCGAGGTCGAAGGTGAGGCGGCCTTCGGTGGGAACTTGGCTGGTCAGTTGGGTGAGCACTGTTCAACATGAAGACATGCAGCATGCGTGTCAGTTTCTGGAAAAGGGATGGCTTATATACGACTGACAACGGACAAAATTCCAGACATGCATTTTTGGGGAACATGGATTGCAGGATTGCAATACATGTTTCGGGAAGGACTTCTTATCCAAGCCAAGTCATGACATGAACGTATCCAATTCCAAGGGATCTGGCACCTTGTCAGAAGGCACGACTGGACCCTCATGGCGCCTACACAAAAGTGTCTCCAGTCACCCTCTCAATGTACATTGCGTAATTCTAGTGAACTCCAAGCCTGGTTTTGGTCATGAACGTTTGCCGCCTGCTTAGCTGCTAAGGCTGAAAAAAGGACGCCAAGAGTCTAAGGTCTAGAGGTGTAGAAGCAGAAGGTCTAGAGATCTAGACGCATTGGGTTCCAAAGATCTGAGTTGGCAACAAGATTACAATGACAAATTAGAAGCAAAGCACTCACGAATGAAGAACCCACATTGCAAAGGTGATTGTGGCCGATTGCCAACGTGTTTTTCCTTCATACTTCACTAGGCAAGGTGAGAACTCAATGGCTTTGTGCTTGGAAGGAAGAATCCTCCTTGGCTGCCGGCGAGGTGCTGTTTTTTGCTTCAGGCTCAATGTCATCATCCCACACATGTAAAAAAAACAATATGGAACCCACGAACCCGAATGCAAACACATACTCAAGGACAAACGCCCAAACATGTTTCGACACTCTTGCAGGAGACACTCCTGTAGAAGGCTCTTGTGGGACACTCTCGTGCGACACTTTCATCACTCTGCGGGACACTCTTGTAGGAAACTCTCGTGGGACACTCCTATAGGACATTCTTATGGAACATGATTGTGAAAAACACTTGCTGGCCACTCTTGTAGGACACTCTTGTGAATACCCTTGTAGGACACCGTTGTAGGACACTCTTGTCGGACACTCTTGTGGAACACTCTCGTGGGACACTCTTGTCCGACACTCTTGTGGAAAGCTGTTGTGGGACACTGTTGTGGGACACTCTTGTGGGACACTCTTGTAGGACACTCTTGTCGGCCACTCTTGCGGGACAAACTTGTGGAAGAGTCTTGTGGGACAGTCTTGCCGGAGACTCTTGTAGGACACTTTTGTGGGTCACTCTTGTAGGGCACTCTTCTCGGACACTTTTACGGAAAACTCTTGTGGGACACTCTTGTGGGACACTCTTGTCGGACACTCTTGTGGGACACTCTTGCCGGACACTCTTGTAGGCGGCGGATGCGAGCACCTCTGATCAAACATACGTCCTTTCCTCCCACTCCTACCGTAAGAACCCCTCTAGTCTGGACACACTGCTTGGGGAACAAATGGCTTGCAAACGGATCTTCAAGGCAGCTGAGCTCAACTTACTCTAACCCCAGTCCGGCAGGCGCCTTGAATTGCCGGGATAGGCTGGCACCTGGCAAGGAGTAGACTCGACTGAGAGTTGACTGAGAGCCTCAAACCATGTATGGCAGGTGGTGCTGGATGTTGTTCATCTTTTGTTTGCTTGCTTGATTGGTTGGTTTGGTTGATTTGTCTGTTTCTTTGGTTGGTTGTCTGGCTTGGTTGGTGAGTGCTAATGTTGTTTCAATTGTTGTCTGTGCATGGAGCCGACAACCCAACAACAACCAACACCAACTAACAACAAAACCACACCACCGCGCCTAAACAGCGGCAACTTGACGTACACGTGGTGAAAAGCTCGACGTCTCTGGAATTGCCGTTGCTTAAGTGAGAGGTGTGGGATCAATATGGGCAATCTATCCCTAAGGCTTGTTTGTTTTAAAGCAACGTGTCTTTTCCATTGCTATCCGGGCCTCTTAGCTTTCAGGGCTCCAACCAGCTTCATTGACTCTCCAATACAAAGAACAGCAGCATTTCAAATAGCCTGCACTGCTGCAAAGCAACATCAACATCAAACAAACACAACAGGACATCGATATGCTGGAAAATCTGCACATGTGTGTGTGTGTGTCCCAATGTTTTCGAGGTCTTGAGCCGTTGTACCCACACCAGAACCATGATGACTGATCAGCTCACATGTGACCTTTCATCCAAACCATCCGCCCTCCACGACACACGCCCAGCGCGACCCACTGGGGCACCTCCCACAGCCGCTCTGGTCGTGCTGCCGGGCGCGCCCGCGCGTCCCAAGGCTCGTTTTGCGGGTCGTAAGCAGCGCGGCCTGGAAGCCAATTGGCCCAAAGGTTGCCTTGAAGCGGAAGTCGCCATGGCATGAGCTGTTTGCGACGATAATGTCGACCTCATAACAATAAATGCCCCCTGAATAATGCTATTTTTCCCCCCCCAAAAAAAATGTACCCTAAATAATGCTATTTTTGGGGGGATCTTGTTTTTGGGGCTGACTCCAAAACGTAATACTATTTTATATACTCTCAGCCGCTTCCAAACCTGATTCTGATTTGTTTTGTTTTGTTTCAAAACTTTTAGGATTTCTGATTTGGCTGTTGCATTTTCCTTTTAAAGTTTCTTATTTGGGCATTGCCAGTTGTTGTTTGAAATCAACCCACAAAGGTACCCCCCACAAGCTGCCCAAACCTTCAACTACACCAGACCTGAAATAATGCTAAACCAAACCTGGCTGGTTCCTTAGGTGGTTTCCTTTAAAATCCCTTTAGATTTCCTTTTGGTAGAAAAGCATTAGCTTTATTGAAGGCCATGGTTGTTTAGGGTCAACCCTTTTGTTTTGTTTCAAAACTTTTAGGATTTCTGATTTGGTTGTCGCATTTTCCCTTTAAAGTTTCTTATTTGGGCATTGCCATTTGAGCCACTCTAAAAACCTGCAGTCACTCCCTATGTCGTATCACTAGGCCTTACGCGCTGCTTACGCGGCCCTCACTTTTGCTTACGCAGAGCAAACTTCCGAAATGCTTACGCGAAATGCTTACGCAGTCTTGCGCAACCCAGGGTTTTGCTTACGCGGAATTCGATATGACAAGGTCCTTACTTAAGATGTAAAGGCAGGTTTTTAGAGCGGCGCATTTGTTGTTTGAAATCAACCCACAAAGGGTACCCCCC